TGTCCACCTTAAGGACTTACCACCCCTGTAAAATTGTTATTGCCCGACCGATTTCGAAAAACTTTTTTTTGTTGGATAGGTATTTGAAATGTCCATCCAACAAGAGAGTGATTTTACTGATGAACTGTAATCGTGGCCAACTGCGACCAGCTTTATTGACCCATATTTGAGAAAGTACTATTAGGGATTTTTTTTCACAAAAAACAATGATGGATTCTGAATCACGATCACTTGAAAAACACCTTTACTGATTTTTATCATCATAAAACACAGGGTGTCTGAAAAAACGAATTATGTTTTTTTTATCGGTGATCAGAAAATGTAGTATTGTGGTATTTTTGAGAAGAATTGATGACACATTATTATTGAGGATCACTTTGAACATATCTGTACCGATTTTCATTATTCAAAAATACGATGTGTATGAGGAAACAATTAAAAAGAAAAAGTAGGCAATATTTTTTCTTCAACTCAAAAAAAATATTAATTTGATTTTTCGAACACCCTGTATTTGATGATGATGAAAATCGGTACAGGTATGTTCCAAGTGATCCTGATTCATCTTTCTACTTTGAGTGAAGAATTATCAGGATGAAAAATATTGCTTACCTATCCTTTTTGATTTTTTTCTCAGACACATTGTATATTCAAATGACGAAAATTGGTACAGGTATATTTGAAATAATCCTCCAATGATAATTTGTGATTATTTCTTTCTAGAAAAACCACAGAACTACATTTGCTGATCACCTATTTGAAGAAAATGATGATTCGTTTTTTCGGACACCCTGTGTTTTATGATGATGAAAATCGGTACAGGTATATTTCAAGTGGTACTGATTCAGAATCCATCATCAAGTTTCGTGGAAAAAAATCCCTGATAGTACTTTCTGGAATATGGGTCATTGAAATTTGTCGCTGTTGGCCACGATAACAGTCCAAGAATTAGATCACTCTCTCATTGGATGGGCATTTCAAATACCTATCCAACTAAAAAAGGTTTTTTGAAATTGGTCGTATAATTACGATTTTACAGGGGTGGTAAGTCCTTAAGGTGGACACACTGTATATAAAAATGAATGTTTGTCTGTCTGTCTGTCTGTCTGTCTGTCTATCTGTATGTCCTCGATAAAATCGTAAACGGCTCGACCGATTTCGTTAATTTTTTTTTTGTTTTTTTCGTTATAGTTCAGGGGTGGTTTAGGTGAAAAAAAATTGAAAAATCAAAGATGGCGGAACCAATATGGCGGACGAATATGTAATTATGGATCGATTCTATTCAAAACTATGGATCTAGGGGTTTTCGGCATCGGAGATTATGATTCCTTCGTCAAAATTAGGAAATTCAAAATGGCGGATCCAATATGACGGACGAGTTTTGTAATTATGCACCGTGGTATATAACGAAATTACTGCAAAAACAGTTCACACACCTATGTTTAGAAGAAGATAACCTGTCATTCAAAACAAGAAACGTCTAAATCGGACAAGTAATTTTGACGAAAATGGATCTTAAACTTTTGACTACTTTTTTTGGGAGATGTGTATTTTATCTATAAATGATCTAATTTTGTTTTCCATCTCAAATTTTGCTGATGACGATTCGATTTCGTCAAAGAAGGATAATTACATGTTGAACATGTACAAATATCAAGCTCTGAATTATATTATACTTCGGATATATGCTGATGAAAAGCAAACAACATGATACTGCAAATGAATTTCCTGAGGCAATCATTTTAAATTGAAAAAATACTCCAGAAGAAGCGGACTAGAAATATGGAATAAAAAAGAGGGAGTTGATATCCTACAGAGAAGTGCGCACAAATACCGGTTAGTGCTAAAACTTCTGAATCATTCGAGGTCGGATATTGAAAATTGGTGGGTAGAAAGTATACCAAATTGATCACTAATCGAAACAACAATGTTTGCCCAATCACTTCCGGTTTCACCGCAAACGACGCCAATTTTCTAGTTTTGAATGGGACACCCTGTATTTTCATAGTCGGTTAGGGGATTATCATACCGATCGCAATAATACCGGGTGTGATAGGATTATTTCAAACGATTACGAAGATATTCACGACAGAAAAAGAAGTTTCAATATTGTAAAGTCACACCCCCTAATAGCACGAAACCTCCTAGGGACGCCCCTTTTTGTGGTACAATACAAGTCCGAATGTTCCGAGCCTAAAATAATAGTCCTTGCGACGTCTCATGCAATGTCCGAGGAAGGACGTCTATGGAATGTCCGAGCTGGTACACCATTTCAAATGTCCTGGAAATAGCATCCTTTAGATGTTCCACGTGGTACATATAGTAAACTGTCCATGCAAAGACGCCCTAAGCATGTCCCTGATGGGATATAATTTTGAACGTTCTTTCAGGAACATCCATCAGATGTCACAAGTAGTACACTCTCTGGAATGACTTCAGTTATTCTAGAACAACCATGAAGTATACCAGACCTTACATTTCTTCAAATATCTCTGAACGGACGCCCTTGATATTTCCAGGATCGTATAACACCCGAAATGTCCCTCAGAGACATCCATCGGATATCCCAACTGGTACATGAACTGTAATGCCTTCGGAAGAAACCCCTATAGATTATCCATATGTTCATCTAAGTAATAAATAGGTACAAGAAAATTCTTCGGGGAATATCATTTCATAAGATGTCATGAGTACAACGTCTTATGGACGTCCCAAGGACGTCCTCAGAGTGTCCTAAATACGATTTGGAATGTGCAGGGCTGTCCCAGATAGCATTCGTGGGGAATGAATGCTGAGATGCGTTCACGTTGGGTCAGGTTTGCACCAGATAGCGGTCAAGAATGCTATCTGGGACAGCCCTGCACTGATGAGAGCCAACAGCTCGAAACCGGTCTGCAGGTAGTCAGGCGTTCCTGAACCACTTAGGCGCATCTCGGCGTTCAGGAAGGAAACACTTGCGATGTTATTCGTCTATACGGATTATTGCATCGATTTCGGGAGGATTTGATCCAATATTCTGCGTGGCATATAGCCATGGAAGTAGTTATTTTCCTCTCGTTATTCACCATTTTCGTTCATTTTATGAACTATTGAAGTAATGACTTTGAGTTTCTCTCTTTTGTGACAATTGCATTCCACTTTGAGTATTTTGCTTTCTCCTAGTTAACAATTGTTTTGTTGATTAATGAGCAATTTCGTATACCCAACAATTTTCGATATACGATGTCGAATGATTCAGTAGATACAGCGCTGACCGTGTCTGGTGCACTTCTCTGTAGATACTCTTATCGAATTCACAGGGTGGACCAACGAAAACGAAACAGAAAACTACCAAGGAAATGTTTCGTTGGTTCGAGATACACGACTTAAATTCTGAATTGTCAAAGATGGCATTTGGTTAATAAACTACTCAACACTAATTACGGCGCATCCCAAAATTCTGCCTCTGTTGAAATATGAATAACTTTTTTCAGCTTTGAACGATCTGAATTCAGATCACACTGTTTGCTAGCCCTGTCCTTCAGCTATAATCTCGTACTTCTTCAAAACATGATGTTCTCCATATAAAATCGCTACAGGGTGGTTACCTGACACTGTGGAAAATTTCGGAAATTTGGAAAGTATCCCAAATGAAGAAACATTTTTTTCCAACTTTGACAGTGGAAGCATGTGAATGATTTCATTATCTTGGGACACCTTATCTCTTACAGAGTGATCTCAAAAAACTTACTTTTTGGTTTTGCAATAATAACTCTTTTCCTCGTCAACTAATTCCTGAAATCTCAGGCTCATTTTGGAAGCTTAAACTTCAGATGAAGAGATATGAAGATCAGAATTGAGTCAAGATGAACATCATACAGTGTGTTCTGAAATTTGGGCAAGCGGTAGATATATTGAAAATACACACTATGACCAAGTGGAGTCGTCTCCAGTGATATTCACTTCTCGCCAACAGCCATGAAACCACCCACAAGAATGATATAAGGAGGCAAGATAGGTTGAAAATCATTTCGGAATCAAAATCAGGACGTTCCTCTCGCTTCCTCCTGCAAACCCTACCTCAATAATAAGGTGATATACGGGGTTGCTTCCATGAGAAGTGAGACAAAATTAAATTTTTCTAAACTGAAAAGTTTACAAGAAAAATATTGATAGTAGGTGAATTGGACGTCCTGATTTTAAATCCGAAGTGATTTTCAACCTATTTTGGCTCCTAATGACATTTTTCGGAAATTTGGGTGGTTCCATGGCTGTTGGCGAGCAGTGTTCATCACTGGAAATGAATCCACTTGGTCATAGTGTTCATTTTCAGTATATCTCCCGCTCCTGTGAGTTTCAGAATCCTGACTCAACAATTACGAAACATACAGGGGTGCTTTCATTAGAAGTGAGACACGCTGTATAATGTTCACCTCGAGTCAATTCTGATCTTCATTTCTCTTTATCTGAAGTTTCAGCATCAAGATGAGACTTTCAAAACGGTTTGACAAGCAAAAAAGGTATGACTGCACGACCAGAAAGTAAATTTTTTGAGATCACTCTGTAAATAGAAGAGATAAGAAGACAATTTGAAAAATGTCCCTAGATAATGAGATCATCTTCATGCCTCTGCTGTCGAAGTTGAAAGAAACAGTTTTTGTTCATTTGGGATCCTTTTGAGAATTCCGAAATTTTCCACAGTTTCAGGTGACACTCTGTAGCGATTTAATATGAAGAACCTTATGTTTTGAAGAAGTACGATATTATAGCTGAAGGACTAGGCTAGCGAACAGTGTAATCCGAATTCGAATTGTTTGAAGCAAAAAAAGTTATTCATATTTTAACAGGGACAAAATTTTGGGGTGTGACGAATAAAAATTGAATAAGGAAAAAGTTGCTTCGACGATGAAATCACTATAAACATCAACCTTATATGGAAATAAGTAAAGTTTCCTTGGATTCAGTGCTCTATATGACACAGGAAACAACATTTGGATGCGTATTTCATTCGTAAGTTGTCTTACCTTTGAGAGCTGGACAAATTCTCTTCCATATGGTGAGACAACCGCTTCGATGGAATTGTCCCAAAGCTAGTTCCATGTAGAACAGTGGAAGCCCTCCGAAAATGAGCATGATGGTGTAAGGAATCAAAAAGGCACCTGGAACAAAGATACCAAAATAGTTCGTCGAAGAGATGTCAGAATTGTATCCAAAATCCATATTGCATGACTTGCTATGTTATCATCATGTTCATTTCAAAGCGAGAATGTCAATTATCAAAAAGTCTCAACGAATTTCCTTGAATTTGAATATTAGGAAATCATTATCATTTTCAGATACTCCTAAGATACGCTTTCATTAGTTCTCTTGTAGTTATCATAAACAGCATGTTGTTTGTACAGGGTGCGCCTCTTAAAATGAAACCCCACCTTAACTCTTTTGTTTTCAGAGATATGGAAAAATGTTGAATGAAGAAGTTTTTTGAAACGACCCAAACTTACATTTCGTGAAATTGTTCAATATACAGGGTCATTAGTTTTTCTGGAATAGAAATGAACTTTGTTTTATTCAATAGAACACCCAATATATTTTTCGATAAAACCTATTCTTCTGATCTTAAGAATATATATGAGTTGCACATTTGGATAAAAAATAGTTGAGTTATTGATGATCAAAGTTTATCAAAATACCGCTTTATGAACCTTCACATAATCATCCAATAATGTGAGTTGAACATAATTGGGCTTAAAATCAATGTTTATATATTGTTCAGGCTTTTTGAAATGTCATGATATTGCTTATTATGAGCTTGAAATCTTTCAATCTCAATTTTAAAGAATATGAATGGAAGATGCGGTATTTTGGTAAACTTTGATCAGCAATAACTCAACTATTTTTTATTCAAATATACAATTCACATACATTTCATGCTAGGGTTTCTTAAACGTTCAACATGTGAATTCAGGAATATTGAATCGATCAAATTGCTTTATTACTATTTAGTTCGCAGACGTCATGAATTTGCATCCATAATTTGGGATCCACATGTTCAGGTCTTGAAAAGAAATTTGCAGAATAAATTCTTGAAATATCTGTACTACTGTCAACACAAAGTGAATCCAAGGTTCGACTCTTACCAACCAATACGTGATGAGTTTAAAATACCACATTTAGAGCACAGAAGAACTATTAATAAAATGGAATTCATACACAAAATATTGAATAGATCGATAGAGAGCGAGTACCTTTTAGGTCAAATAAATATTCTAGTACCCTTAAGAACACTTCGTCCCAGACCCATACTCTTTCATGTTTCGATAACAAGTGACTCTTTAATGAACAGTATTCTCCAAATCCGTAATAAGTATGTTGACAGAATGAATAGTTGTCTTTTTGATACCGAATTAGCCAAGTTTCGGATGGATTTATTGAATTTATTGTAATTAAAATCAATACCTGTATTCTCTAAGGCTCTATAACTTTCTGATACAACTTAACTCATCAGCTCAATTTTTGCTCTATTGATTATTGCTATTAGATCTAAGTGGAAGTTAGGTTAGATTAGTTTAGGTTAGAAAACTTGTTAGTAGGTCTAAGCCTGTTAGTTTTCTATAAATAAATAAATAAATAAATAAAAATTATTGTTTCAGAAGTTCCGCAACATTATGCTGCTGACATCAGTTTCTCGATGAAAAAACGCCTGATATTCGAACTGATTTTTTGCAAAAAAAATAACAAATAGATGGTGCTGCTCAAAGTGAGACACACTGTATATCGTTGAGAGATTATTTTCAGTGAAATTCAAAAATTGAAAAAAATATATACAAGTTATATTATTGGATATAAGAAAGCTATATTGTCATTGAGAAAGAAGAATAACTACCTACTGCAATCCCAAAAAACAATTATTGAAAATAAAATCACTCACTTTGATGGAATCCAAAGAGCTAACAATGTATAAGGGTCGATCATATAATTATTGTGTATTGCTTGTATATACAGGGTGTCCGGAAATTATGCGCAAAAAATCAAGGAGTTGATTCTATTTCATATCCATACATATACGTGGGTCCGGAAATGCATAGTTTTCAAGACACAGTGCTGTGTTAAACTTTTTGGAAAGACTTTTTTCATGAATATCCCAAATATCCTTTCACCGATTCTCTTGAAATACGAAGATACAAAATTCAAAAAAAATCAGTGGCGCACAATTTATTGACAATAATATTCGGTAGGTTGCCCCCCGGGACGCCACTGGATTTCATGATCCCAATTGAATTATGGCTATATCAGCTCCGCATGACAAAACATATAATTGCCGAATATCAAGAAAATCGGTGGAAGGACATTTGAGATATTCATAAAAAACCGATCTTTTTCAAAAGTTTCAACACACTGTATGTTGAAAACTATCCATTTCTGGACCCACGTGGTTCGGATTCCACTATAAGCTGTACATCCCGCTCTTCCTAACCCCGCACAAGTTTCGACTTCTGTGGAGTTGGTTCCCAACTTTGAAGTAGCGATATACAAATTTTACAAATTTTACAATTTTTTTTACGTACATATAAACTGAATTTCCTATGTCATCATGAAGAATCACTCCCTCGATTTTTTGCGCATAATTTCCGGACACCCTGTATATTATGATATATTGCAACGTTCTATTGAATCTTTTGAATATACATCAATTGAGTCTTCTGTATACCTACAATAAATTTCAGTTTTACCAAGCAAAAGCAATATGGTGTCACTCCGATTCAATTCCCCTGAAACTCATGACTTAATCTAATCTCGATCTGAATGCAAACTAATGAAGCATCACAAAATCATGAAAGGGACTTCAAATAAGCGATATACGCTAGTGAAAGATGTAAATATGATTAACTGTTTTCCTAAATTACTAAATCCGAAGTCAAACATCGATATCTAACTTAGGAGAAATTCTATCTCACGGCGTTAACTGAAGAGAGTTTATGACATTAGATATACAGGGTGATTCTGTGGTAAGTGCCATGAACTGAAAGAACCCTTTCTGTACTGCATTAGAGGTTTTTGACTAGTACCTCACCAGTATCAGTAGCAATGAACTCAACATAAACACCTGGAAGGGAGACGGCCGTTTTCTTGAATAACAAAAGTGTCAGGGGCAACGGCAACAAAGATAGCTTGTGTTGCGGTAACCTGTCTCTTTCACACTCGTGTTGTTTAACGGCCGATTGGTGTATGAATTTTCTTTCATCCAAAAAAGTGAAGACAGAATTTTATTGTTTTTTGTCATGTGAAATATCGCTAAATTTGGCGTGTTTTGTTTCTTCAAAAGGACTGAATTTGTTGGTGTGAAATGATTATTGTTGAAAAGATTTGTGGTTTCGAATCAATAAACAATGGTTATTTATATTGTGTTGCCTTTGGATGCAAAATAAGCAAGGCGAACAGAAATTGTCCTCCATGGATAAGTTGAAAATTATTCAGATTGATGATCAAGTTCACTTCAACACGACATGTCGCAGCGACAATGGCTGCTTAACAAAATGTAATCCATATTTTACCCCCTTTTGAGAATCACATTTTAATTCGTTTGTAATGTATTTTAACTCAATGTCGTTAGTTTTAAACTGGACCAAAGATATTTTTATGGACGAATTTTCCTGTTAACCTGACGAGTACGCACTGATGATGACTTAACAGTCGAAAACGCTCTGCTACGAATATTGAATAAATTATTTTGCACGAAATACAAATCTTCCCTTCTTTGGCATGATAATATTGTCTTTTCAGATTTGCCTCTGGAGTTTCTTCTTCTCCAGAAACGAAAAAATGGGAGTGTACTCTCTGTGCGACGCAGATATTCATCTTTAATGAAGAAATTCATCCTTACATTGTATTTTTCTTCACTTTTTATTCACCTCTCATTCACCTTATAATAGTGAGATGTTCATGGAAAAATAGGTACTCTTAAAATTTAGGCATAAATCAGAGCTCAGGTACTCGATACCATTCAAGAACCTCTTTTAAATTTTTTTTATCGTTTTTCTATTTCTTAAGATAGTGTTGAGACATTGAGCTTCGCTCCCCCTGTACCATATATTGTGACATTTGAATGAGAATAACTGGTTTTAATTTTGTATTCATTTGCCTTCCTCATCCTGTAAGAATAAGAATGGAATTCCACTTTTGAGTCAATAAAAAAATCAATAATTATTTTCAAATAATAATTGATTGAAACATTATCTTTTTTCCTGAATGAATATCAATATTTAATCACATATACTCTTGAATAGAAGCAAAAAACAAAAAAATATTTCAAATAATGCGAGCGCTTCCCATTAGCCAACATAAGGTAGAAAGAGATAGGTATCCGTAACCACTGCGGGTTGCCTGAACAATATTTTTGTCTCACTCGTCGTTCACAGAGGATCCCTTCCAGGTGTTTATATCGAGTTCATTGATCAGTCGGTGATATTTCAACCTAGTTTAAGGATTTTTGACTCACCTCCTCCATTTTGGTAGCAGATGTAGGGAAACCTCCAGACATTCCCTAGGTCCACGGCGAATCCTACAACGGCCAACAAGAATTCCACCTTCTTGTTCCACGTTTCTCTTTGCCTATCAGGGGTCAGAGCTACAACCACCACTCTTGTCACGTTCTCCTTGTTGGCCTGAGTGATAGAAAAAGAAAGAACTATCAATCCAGTTGGGAGATATCACAGGCTGAAGTTAGGTTTAGGATAATCGGCAGTATTTCTGAAGAAGTGTCAAAATTTTCCCTTTTTTGAACCAGAAATCTTTAGTATGATTAATGTTGACCGTTTTCTCAATATTCTGATAAGCTTCGGTGATATCCATTTTATCTTCAATTCTGGTTGAGATATCCATAGATTTTATGGATAGTTACAAGATTTACGTAGCAAACAAAAAGTTTCAGATAAATCACAAATTCACTGACTGGAATCAATTTTTTTGTTATTGTCTTACTTTTTCGTACGTTTTGATCTTCCGTAAATGAATCGTAACTTTACTCTTTTCCTGAGCTTCAGATACATATTCATGCAATATTCATCAATGAATTCGAAACTGACATTTTTTCATACGGATACCCCTCGGGAGGACCATAAAGCAAACAGAATAGTAGATTGTTTTATTAGGATCAAAAGTGACACTTTGTTTGACAAGCGAATTTTGCATTTGCGAGGCGGAGCGTTTATCGAAGCCGAGCGAAAGCAAAATTTGCGAGTCGAACAAAGTCACTTTTGATCCGAATGAAACATGCTATTTTTTCTGCCACCGAAACAATTAACTTAAATGAACATGTGAAATAACCACCAATGCCGTGCCATATGTGTGCAATGCAACAAATATTGACAAAAAATCCATGTGGTGAGAATATTCTACTTGCATTAACAGCAGGTTAGGTTTTCTAGGATGTTCGAATTGTAGTTTCAATATAAATACAACCACAGAGTGACATATTTGTGTATGGACCAGGTGCTCTAATGGCAAATACCGCTGCAGTGCCAGCTATAGGAACAAGACGTAGAAAATGTTAGGTTAGTGAGCATATCAACAATGATAATAGTGATTATTCATTCCTCTCCATACTACACTGTGTTTGACTTGATAATCAAATGAAGCTAAACAATATTGTTGTTTGCGACAAAAAAACTATTGCTTGCCGTGATTATTCAAAAACAAGTTATCCATCCCGAGAATAACGAATGAAATACATATCAAGCAAGTATTTGAATCTTGAAGGCTTACCTGATCAAAACAAAAATACTCAACTGAGATGTTTATAATTCCAATACTAAACTATAATGAGGTGTATTTATATCTCCAGCATGGGTATGAAATTCCAAATCTGCTGAAATCGGAAACAAATCAGGTATGCGTCTCAACCCAAATAACCAACCGTCACAATGTTGTTAATTCTTGATGACTTCTAGTCCATCATTTTTAGTTCCTAGGAGCTAAAGTTCAACTTTAGCTCCTAGGAACTAAAATTCAACTTTAGCTCCTAGGAACTAAATATGTTGCCTAGCAACATACCTATTTTTGTGTCAGTAAAAGAAACGTCAATTTAAGAGCTAATTTTGGTATCAAAATGGACGACTTTTGTGTCGGTTGCAGAAAATAGCTATTTATGTATCAATGGTGTCAAATTGGCTGATAAAAAAAACTGGGAAATCACTTCACCGCTCGATCACCTACTCAACCGCCCGCTGTACTCCTATACCGCCCTAGGACACTGAAGTGATACTTAACGTCCTCGAGTCCGGGCGATAAAGTGCCACTTTACTCCCGGTTGACCATAATAGCAATAGAAATATGGAAAATCATTATCCATGTTTCATAAAACTATTCAGAACAAAAAATGGGCTTGAGATGCATATTGATTAAATTTTCATTGATGGATTCGAAAAGGGTATCATCCTGAAGATGTCCTACGGCCATAAGACGCGAATATCAATTATTGATATATGACATCCATAAAAATCATCAGGAAAAACTGGATACACTCTTCAGTTCTTCCTAATGATTCTTCTTCCTCCATAATTTTGTTCCCTTATATTGCCATTCTCTAAGAAGTTATCTCTGTTATGATTTGTTTCAATTTATTTTGAGAATTCAACAATGATATTCCATGTTCTAATACTCATCAAATGTGTCATTATTTCTTTGTGTAAGCAATTCTGAATTAGTCTCATATCCAGAACATTTTAATCTTCGCCAAAGCTGAAGGAAGAAACTTCACTTCCTGCTCGTTTCCTCCTCTAACCAAGGAAGATGGAACACTAGCCACAACTTCCCCGGAGAAAGCCAACATTTTTGCGCAGTTATTTGTTAAAAATTCCACTCTGGATTCATCGGGAAAACAACCTCCAAACATAACGCCAATTGACAGTCATTAGCCCGAGATCACCTTTCGCCAACGTACTATAAAGAAGATTTTATTGGGTCTCAACACCAACAAAGCTTGTGGCTCCGACGGAATAGCACCGATTGTTCTCAAGAAATGTGCTCCCGAACTGACACCTGTTCTCTGAAAGTTGTTCAACTACTCTTACCAATTGGGGATATTCCCGTCCAACTGGAAAATTGCGAGAGTACAATCAGTTCATTATAAAGGCAAAAAGACCCTACCTAGCAACTACAGACCGATCGCATTGCTATCTATTATTCCAAAGATCATGATGGAAGCTATCAACATCGAGCTCATGGAATACCTGGAACATTCAGGTATTATCAACGAAAGGCAATATGGCTTCCGTCATCAGAGTCTAGCACCACGGACTCCTCGCCAAGCTTCCATCTCATGGCGTGCCTCCCCAGCTATGTTCTCTGCTAGCTAGTTTTCTCTCCATGTTGTGGTCGACGGAGTTTCATCTGACTCTCTTATCATAAATGCTAGAATTCCGCGAGGATCAATTCTAGCACCAACACTATATAGTACCCCCTTCATTCCGCCTTCTCTTCCAGTGCTCCAATACCAGCCAGGCAAATTAGAAACGAAAGAGGGAGACATGTTGACAACATAAATATTCGGAGTGCAGCACCCAAACATACCCTGAAACTGTTGGATTCTGTTTAAAAAAGGGCAATTCGTCTCGTGGGTGATGCCTCGCTCACAAACTCACTCACTTCTCTGGAACACCGTAGAAAAGTTGACGATCTGTCTCTATTTCATAGATATTTTCATGGACCGATGCTCTCCTGAAATATCAACAATTGTTCCTCCCTTGGCAGTCTCCGCGAGATTAACCCGTCGAGTTGAGGCTTCGCACCCCTTCGTGGTCACTTTGGAAACCTGTAGAACATCTCTTTCCAAAGTCTCGTTCATCCAACGAACAGCAAGGCTCTTGAACATATTGCCTAGGGAGGTGCTCCCCGAGGCATATAACCTCCAGAAATTCAAGAAGGACACCAATTCCTACTTTATTTCCCTTGGTTCTCACGATGTTCTCTTTTCATGGGAACCAGAACATGAAAAAATCGTTGTCAGTTCATTTTCTACCGTCTGGATACATTCGATTTTTTATACCATCTTGGTTTCATCCCTCCATGATATCTCTGAAAAGATATCCTGGAAATATCTGTCAACAATGTATGATAGACATCGCTAGGGATATCTTTTGAATGTCCTTAATAACATATTATATATCCGTGAACAAAATCTTATTGATATTCCTGAAGATATCTTATGAACATTCATAAAGAATATCTTGGGGAAGTCCCGCTTCTTCCACCTGTACTCTCTGGATATCATTCCATAGAACTATTATTCTTACCTGTTGTTTGCTGCCTTTGCCTTCCTTCGTTTTGCTCATCAACTTCTTGTTCTCCCCTGTATGATCCGTGTGCGTCTTGGGCAAGTTGTTGGTGGATTTGCTCGTGTTGTCCGAGCAATTGCGAGCCTCAGGCTCTGGATCAGGCTCGGCTGCCGCCATCTCTCGGCTACCTTCAGAGATGGCTACGATGACGAAAGGGTTTCATGCCTGAAACAATGAACTCGATATAAACACCTGGAAGGGAGACTGCCGGTTTCTCGAATAGCATAGAGTGTGTCAGGGGCAAAAGCAACAAAAACAGCTTGTGTTACGGTAACCTGTCTCTTTCACACTCGTGTTGTTCAATTCGCGATAGAAAATAACACGTCGCGCCACCTGACGGCAACAACTTGAACACTTCTGAGCGGTTCGTTCTGAAGATGTGACCAATAAGCACAAACAAAAAACAAATGTGAGCCAATGAAAACAATGCCGCTTTGACAGCTTCCAAGAACTCTGATAGGTGGCGTACGGTTATTTTCTATCGCGAATTGCGGATTGGTGTATGAATTTTTTTTATCCAAAAATTGGAGTACTTGAGATCTCTTTTCTTCATCTGAACAGGCAAAAAAGTGAAGACAGAACTTCATTGTTGTTTGTTATGTGAAATATCGCTAAATTTGGCGTGTTATGTTTCTTCAAAAGGACTGAATTTGTTGGTGTTGATTGATTATTGTTGAGAATATTTGTGATATCGAATTCATGAACATTATTCATATTGTGTTGCTTTTGGATGCAAAAATACTCCTGATCATCTGGTTCGTTTAGAAGTCGGTAGGGTGAAAATTACTCACATTGTGTTCAAGCAAGCGCTCAACTGGCTTATAAAAATTCTAAACATGGATGATGGTAGACTCCCGAAAATATGCTTTCTGAGTCTCATGTCTTTTGAAAATGCTGCAGATATAAGATATAACTGGGCTAGCCAAATGAGATAGTTTTTTACTTATGTGGACCGTCTGGATGTATGGGATGGAGTATCTTCCCGTAAATTATCAGCAAACAAAAACAATTTACTTACACAATTTCGCCTGAAATTATTCCACGATGATCTAAATAAATCAATGCTTTCCAGATTTCCTCTGTTCTATAATTTTTTCGCCATTAACGAAGCTGTCAAGACTTATCTAACCATAAATGTTTTTATTTATATAATCAGAATAATTGCTCAAATTAGGCTCACTCTCACTGGTAGATTTAACCTAAGAATCTCGCATTCTGGTATTGTCCACCAGATAGAGTTCGAACAAATTTGTGATGTATGTAATCAAAATATGCCACAAACATTCGAGCATGTATTTTTTGAATGCCTCATATTATCTGCAGTCAAACCAAAAAATGTCATCATTCTCGAAAATGTCGAAAATTTTATAAATGCGCTAGACAATATCAACGTGAAAAATTCGAAATTATTGTGCTAGATTAGACTTCTCGCTATAAGAATGTAATTTCGTAAGGAGCAATAAAGAATTATTATATTATTATTATTAAATTGTAGCTGGAAAAGTTAGGGCAAACTTTTTTCAATGTCATTATGGCAAAATCACATCGTAGATTTTATATGCATGAATTGAATTATTGTCAAAATGGAAAACAAACTTGTACGCTGCTGTTTTGGCATTTTTCAGTCTTTAGGAAGAAATAGATTGAATACTAGTTACGTGTTTAATGAAATAATTCATCAATTTTCGAATCTCAATGTTAATTTTAATCAATACACTGAATCTTCTTCGATCGTCTATAGGGGGGGGGGGTATTTATCCAATTACCCCCACAACCCCCCCCCCTTGTTTACGCGCCTGCTCAGAAAGCACTATCTTGAATTTGAAGCCTCCGAAAAGATACACACGAACAAAATGTCAATAATTCCGAAGACAAGCGATATTTGTTATACACAACTTGATTTTGCAAAACTACGGAAGAAACAAAACAGGTCTTCATCCTCTTATATTATGTAGAAAAGTCCATGACCTCAGAATATCATACGCGAAAGTTTTCAAGTTCGATCAAGTTCAGGAATGTCCGCCATTTTGTTTCATGAAAAAATTCAATGAATATAGAGTTGACGTTTTGTTCTGATGATCGAAAACAAAATTCCGGTTTTTTTGACAACCCTATATTTTCGTGGTGATGTTCCTCATTGAAGTAATCGATCGTGTAGAAGATTTTGGCGATATCGCGATAGAATTTCAAGGTGGCGCAGGAAATAACTTGACAGCTATAACGACGCTAATAGAGCACGATCTTGGACAAAAAAATATCAACGGATGCTTTTCGGCAACGATAAGTCTGACAAATTCCCATAATTATCTGTTTCGATTTCGTAGTTGTGGAGTTGAATCAGCGTTATATCGGGAAAAGATATTTGCTCTCCACACAATTTGGCCATTTTCGATATCTCTTCATGATTGGAAAGCTTCAGAGAAGACAGTCCGAAACTTTGTTCTGAATCTACAAAGTGAACAACTAAGAACGGCCGTCAGCCATATCTCAGCATCCAATAATGAAACATTATTCCACATTTTTCTGGGACTTTCTCTCCTCGTCTCTAAAAAATAATAGTATATTCTTCAACGAGCGTATAATGATAGCTATTATTCCCGAGGATATGATTCCGAAACGAGCCGTAGGCGAGTTTCGGAATTATCCGCGAAGCAATGCCCGGGGTACATCTCGGGATTTGGTAGCTTCAAAAATGTAACTATTTGTTTTCCCATTGCTGCAAACTTATTAATTCCAATTTTCTAAAGAGTACATTTTCCTTTTTGGTAATTCATGAAAAAATTGGAGATTCTAACATTTGCTGCTCGTATATCAATGTACTTTTTACAAAATTGATAAAATTTCCCGGTTACAGTGAACCTCCTTACAATTTTTGTTTTGGTCTCAGGAATAGTTATCATCCATGGAGATCCAAGATCTTGAATATCTTCAATATTCATAGAGTACATATCTATGGAACGGCAAGCCTCCATTATATCCTCCAGATATCGAAGTTAAAACTTAAAAGACTCTATAAGTCAATCTGACATTCGCGAAAGTCAAGCCGTGACGTGACCCGTATATAAAATGAAACAGAGCCTTCTTGAGAAATTTGTTTTGTAGATTTGCTGGTTTTTCATTAGTCTAACCTTTTCAGTTGCTGTGGATCCTGAAAATTCTGAATCTGTGATTGGTCGAGTGCCGTTGAATAATGAGTTGGGATCCACGGTGTCTTGGAATCATTTTCATTCATCAATTACTAACCTATATGTAATCAATTTAGAATACGATAGTCGTAGAGAAAAATATGAATACTATTCCAATATACGTGTAGTTATGACAGATCAGATGATTTGTCCCAAAATGTCACTGCGCTTAAAGATTTTTCCTATGAGAGAGCCTAAAAGAAAAATTCACTAGCTTGTCAGTGACAATTTGAATTGAAAAGGGTTTGGAGGAGAAAAATAGAGGTATATAGAAGAATATCAAATTTGTACTTATCTTCGGACGTTTCTGGAATGAATCTGCTCCCATTCTCAACATGAAAAGTGGATTTTTCGTATTTGTCCTGATACTCAGTGACGATTGGTGACGTTGGCAATCAAATGAGTTACAGGATGTTTGATTCAATTAATTTATCAATATCAACTGAACAGGAAGTAATGCTATACTCCGTTCAAAAGAATGCAAACAGATATTCCTCGATATTTCTCTTCTGGTTGTTATCTTCTCTACTCTAGCATATGTTGTCCATCTTCAGTAAGGATATGTTCAGAAAAGACACATCGACAAATCGAAACTAGCTGAACATATCCTTACAGAAGATGGACAACTCATGGCACAGTGGAATAATAAAAATCATTGGAAGAGAAGATAACAACCAGAAGATAAAAATCAAGAAATCTGCTCGCATTCTTCTGAACGGAGACAATGGCATTGCTTTCTGTTCAGTTGATATTGATAGAACATGGTATTCACTGAAAATGGAATACTTTTCCCATATTTGGAGTGCAGCACCCAAACATATACCTGAAACTGTTGGATTCTGTCCAAAAAAGGGCAATTCGTCTCGTGGCTGATGCCTCGCTTACAAACTCACTCATTTCCCTGGAACACCGTAGAAAAGTTGGCGATCTAGCTCTATTTTATAGATATTTTCATGGACGATGCTCTTCTGTTATCCAAAGCTTTGCAACTCTATAGACAAACTTGTTTTGGTGAAGAGTTGTTCGAGGTTGTCAACATAAGAATGTGCAGACTGGGGTTGTCGAGTTCGTCTGACTGGTATTGCTTTTATGCACCTATACACAAAGTTTGGATTTGTGGAAAAACATCCAGTGAATTTGGATGAACTTTTCTCAGATAAATATAAAATAATGGAAAAAAATCCTCCATGAAATTGTAATGTCCATGTAAATATTCATTCTATATACGGTCCTTCTGCCCTTTTTTAATCGGATTAATACCCTGTGAGCTTTATTATACGGAGATTTAAACAAAATACATTCGGAATCAGTGAATTTAATCTTGGGTCTTCTATAATAACTACAGCCAAAAAAGATACAGCACATGGAAATTCTAGATGATTAATATTTCAATGGATCTGAACTCTCTCATCATGAAATTGAAAGAACAATCTGTTAAGTACTGATACCTGAAGAATTACGGTAGATATAATTTTCTTCGACTTTTTCGCAGATTTTAATTCGAAAATTAGGGCATAATCGACGATTGGATTCTAATAAGAGTATTTTCAAGAGGAAATTCACGCTTTATTAAAACCTTTCAATATTTTAAACTTTGCCAATTTACTGATATTGAATCATAAGTTTGAAGGTGCAGGCACCAGAGTGAGGAAATCATTCACTGAAACTAAAAAATTCTCGAAAATTGCACTGAATAAAGTGTACAGGGTTACCCAAATGAAGTGTCTACCTCTGGTAAATTTATTGTTATAAGAGATACAATGCTGTTTATACAATATAGGGATTTGAAGGGTACCTTTATCCCCTATTTTTGGGGTGAAAAGTGGTACTTTAATCCCTAGGAATTTCAAGTAAATCTCTCTGCAATGAATGCTAAATTCCACGTTGTTTTGCTATATACGTTCTCTTCTAGAAAATATCTTTTTAGTTGAA